ACAACTTAGAACCGCTCCAGAGAAAGGTTACTCCACAAAGAGAGATGATGCCTCTTGTCACGAGAGAGGAACAAAGAAAAATATATGGGACTTGAGGAGTGTGAAGTACGAAAATAATTGAACAACTGCTTCCAAGCGATTGGTTTTTCCAGTTGTGAGAGTTAATGAAAGATAAAATTAACCGTAGGCGTCACCTGTTTTATAATTATTTTTCAGAGGACGAAACAAGTGTTCCCAAAGAAAAGAGATCTGTCGCCTCTGTTGAGAGAAGGGAGACTCCCCCTAGAGATAGGGATGCGTCGCCAAATAAACCAAGAACATCAGATCCATCTCTGGCAGAGAATTCCGAATTTACTAATGGTGGAAAGCGTCCCCTTTCCAGATTAGTTTCAGGCCAAAAGATTCCTTCCAGATCCAGTTCTCCAGTTAATCGTTTAGAGGGACGTGATTCCGCTGGGCTGTCCGATGAGGACCCTTCTGTGGTGTCTGCCAGAACACTGGAGAGTAAAGACCCCAGGGCTTCAGGTTGTTAGAACAATAAGTCATCTGTTTTCTGACGTTTTCAAATATTATCGTATCGAAAACCTAAGCGTAAGTAGTCGTCATGGTAATGCAGAGCTAGATTCAGAATCATCATTCGACTTTTCAGGACAATCAGACCACACGATCAACTGTTACCGCTCCTAAGATTAAACCATTTATAATATAATTGTTCTTTCTGTCTCTTAGACGTACCCCTGATAGAAGTCAAGGATGAAAATCAAAACATGGCAGCTGTGCCGGAGAGAAGAGCAGCTTCGCCGTACACGAACGACAACTCCAAGTGGGTTGAAGTTACTGGTGCCGTGACGCGTGATGCCGTAAACATTGCAGACGGATTGTCAGTACTTCCGGTGGACGACTCAGAAACGAACGAAGAACTAGCTTTACAGATAGCGATAGACCCAACGGTTGAAACTTCTAAGGAATTCGACGAGAGACGAGCGCTTCAGAAGGCGAAGCTTTTGAGCCGTTTGAGAAATGAATCCGATGTTGATCTTGGAGGAGAAATACCTGGAGGTACAAGTGACTCACCGGCCAAACTGGAGGGTATGAGGGAAAATGATGACCGACAGGATGACGTGTTTATTGTAGAGCTGGAGAAAGGAGACGAAGGAATAGGCTTGGGACTCATTGACGGTCTGGTAAGGGCTGGTTGTTTTGTAATCTTTGTGTTCGAAGTCCATTTAGTTCTTACCCAGCTCCGAAGAACATAAGTTGCTTTAACGCATCAATAGCACAACTTTCCCGCGCTTACTAGCTTTCTGTGCACTTTATAACGCGTTTTTAACGTTTATGGGAGGTGCACTGGCACAGTGTTTAGCGCGGTTGACTTCCGGTCAAGAGGTCTGAGTTCAACCCCAAGGCGGGTCATTGTATTGTAATCTTGAACACTACATATTACGCTCTCAGTGTCTTCTAAACCAAAGAATATAAAAGTAAGTGAAATTGTCACTGAAGCTGGACGATTTCCTTCCCGGTTGCCTGCGAAGGACTAACATCTCATCGAAGAAAAGTAACGGATCAATGTCAGTATTTGAACAAATGCACACCTACTCCTCCCTTGACCCAACAACCGTCAACTGATAAACTAAGGTAGAGTTAAAATTGGGTTGGGGGAGGGGCAGATGTCGAGGCGCAGTTGTGTAGATACTGGCATTGGTCCGAAGTAACAATCCTCGCTGACGATTTATCTTAAAGAAACTGGGATCAGTACCGGTTACAAATTCTTAAGACATTCCTTACGCCTTCCTGTGCTTGTAAACTGCTTGTTCATATTAGTCGTCATATGAAACGTAAGACATTTATCGTTCATTTTCATTTGTAGTACACACCATTACGGTCCCCCGGGATTTATGTCCGGACTCTGGTGGCTGGAGGACCAGCTATAAAGGTCAGTGAAATTATGATGGTCCTGTAATCTTTGGCATCCAAGATAAAAAAGGACATCCACTCCTATGGTATTTTATTTATGACGATAAACGCATTTAAGTGGTCGAAACTTTCGAAACAGGGGTAGTAGTCAAAGGGTTTCCCCGCCATCAATTGAATACCATTACATTTGAAGTCCCGCAATCGCTCTGGTTTGCTCCTCTCTTCCCACCCCCCTCCTCTCACTAATTTCTAGAGGTTAAGGCTCGATGGTGGGGGATTTACCAGAGAGCAGGGATTGGGGTGGGGGGGAAGGAGGGGGAGAATGGGGGACTGTGAGAGAGAGAGAGACTTATTACAGTCTTGAAGTTAAAGACGTGGTGGTGGGGGGAGGGCCTTCCTAGAGTTGAGGGTTGTTCTATGGGCGCTCTTAGTAATCTTCATTTTTTTTGTGTAGGATGGTCGGCTTCGTCTTGGTGATCGTATCCTTGCTGTAAATGGAACCAGTCTCGTTGGAGCCGATTATCAAAGGTAGGCGGCTTGGATTTGAGTGTTCCTTGAGTGATACTACTAAATTTATTGCCGTGATACATGAAGATTTTACGGGTTCTCAAAATCGTAACCCTTGTGTCTAAATGGAAATTTGTTTCTTTTTCAGTGCCATGCAGCAAATCCGTGAAGCAGGGAAGCAGTTATCTTTCTTAGTGGCTAAGTCTGATATTCATGTGGCGATGAAGATCACAGCTTCAAGTTGCTAGCAATCCCACAAATATAGAGATACCTCGTCACGTTGTTATGTCATGTCACGCAGTAGGAACGTTGTTGCGTGACATCCCAAACATGCAAACATGGGCTGCGGGAAAGACCGAGTGACCAAGTTTTGGCAGGACCCAGTTCGGAGGCCTGTTCTACTTTTTAATCGAGTTAAACATCAAAGACTAATTTTCCTCACCTTTGTGGAGTGATGAAAACTGAATATACTGACAAAAATGTTTCGTATTCAATAGCTGGAACTAGAATTTTTACGAGAGCAACTTTTCGCTTGACTCGTCAACCAAGAAACTCGAGTGGTTTGTATTTTTGCACATTTTTATCTTCCGGAGTGTGGAGTTTATAACCACTTTTATGATATTGATTGTGTGATGTGACCTCTGAGGATTTTTTCTACATACTTTACAATGTACACCCTATCATGTGTGCCCACGTTACCCTCAGTTGTCAGATTCATACCCACGCCTTGGACTTTTCGTGCTTGTTATATTTTATATATTTTAATGGTTATTTATCCTGAGTCATATTATGCCGTTCAAGTTGTTTATCGCTGTGATTCTCAACGCACTTTTGAATAAAATACGATTTCCTAATACCTTTCCATTCATGACCTGCTCCGATGAGAAACAGTTGAAGAACTTTTTATAAACGCAACAGGTGCATATGGAATGTACCTTTAGTATTAGAGTGATTTAGCAAGAGAACAGGAACGTCAGTTGACAACGGCGCGCGCAGCAAAAATATCGGTAAGAAACTGGGTCGAGAACGTAGCTCCGTTGTGTCTCAGAAGTGACTTATTGTTTTAAGGTAAGAACGATTAGAAACGTAAGTGTTTGAATATGCATTTCACAACCAGCTAAATACATTCCCCTTGTTAAGGAATAAACAGTTCTGCTGAGCAACACGAGATAGCTTTAACATACATGTAGCTCATGTAAACTGTTTAGCCTTGAAAGTAGTAATGATAGACTTTCATCACACATCAGCAATTTCGATTACTTGGACAATAACAACCTGTTTCTCATACCTTTGTTTTGTACTGCCAAGTTAGGCGTGCAAATTCTTTAAATTTAATGAAAATTTGTGGGTACGAGATAAGGGTCTAACCAAAAACCTCCGAACAATATCCTCAGGTGTTTGCCTTTCTTATTCCGCTTGGTGTTTCACTTCAGTATTAACCCGAGGTAAATCTGCAGCTATCATGGTCAACTTAACCTATGTCAGGCGTCCTGTTGGCCGACAAGGGATGCGTGAGAAATTTAGTTTTGCTGTGACGTGTTTTTATTCACTGGAAAAATGACGGAGTCTTCCATAAATGAAAAAAAATTAAGAGCAGGTAGAAGTCTTAAGTTCCTTTTTTAAGTTTAATAATTTAGAGAGACCAGAAATGTCCATAAATTTCAACTAAAGAACCGAGTCTGCATTTTACCCTTGGTCTGCGTTCTGCAGTCTGCGTTTTACACTGACCGCCCCCTGAACGCCATGTGTGATCGATCCCCACCTAAATGACTGGTCCCAAAACTATCCTTTGCTCCTCGAGAGATAACTACAGAATTTTTCTCTCTAAAATTATATAAGGAATTCGCACTGATCCATTTATGTTAGTCTTCGAATTTAAAGAAGGACGACTGAATTTGTGGTGGGAAAGGTTTCGGCTATGGGAAATGTTCCGGAAAGAAATCCGTTCGAATGAAGAGCTAATGATCACCTTGTCAATATGTACAATCGCATTTGGCGTGGGGACAGACGTCTCGAACAAATGGTACAGAAAAATTCGGTCGTTCAGGTAATAGCGAGAAAAGTAGGCAATACTTTGAGAGAAACTTACTGTTTGCGTTCTGTTCTCTTTTCTGAGCCAACGGTTTTCCATACAGATAGTTTATGCCCTCAAGTTGAGCTCTTGGTTACCCTACAGAACAGGCGTAATTTCTCGCGCTTTTCACGCGGGCGGACAGATGCACGAGGCGAGTGCAAAGGGCAAGTCGCTCGCGCAGGAAAAAAAAAAGTAAGAGTCACTATTTTCGTGTACCTCCTTCAGTGCGTGATTAGATCATGTCTTCCTTTCACGTACAGTTCGCGCCATCGACGTAGTATAAAAATCGAATATGTTTTCATTGCTAATTTCTACTTCGAATTGGCTTCGCACAATTGAAACGTCGTGGACTAGATTTCAAAAAGTTATATTTTAGACAAATCGGACCAGAGGAGAAGATAATTTTGAACCCGTTTTATTTGCTGGTATGCTTTAAGATACTACATTTTCTACTTCATGATAACTTCTGGGCTTAAAAAATTTGGAAAGTTAACTGTGTCCCCTGTCACTGTACCAGGATATACCCCATGGCTTTGATGTGCTTGTTGCCATTATCTGGCGAGTACGTTGCCTCATTTCCACAAGTGTTGGAGTCATCATGTAGACCTCCTGTGCCAAAACCAATTCGGGAGTCACAGGAAGAACAGTCATTCTGCTGGTTAGCGGTGATGCCGATTCTTGCTTTGGGGTCATAAGATTTGTGTCCCACCGCATTGAATCCTTCCTTATTGCAGTGAGGCTGCAATGAGGCCTGTGAACCAATCAGTGTCTTCCACGTGTTACGACCCAATGAGGTGGTGCGGTATTTCCCATCAGCGATCAGTGAGAACAGTGAGTTGGCGTGCCGGTTGATCAAAATAAACCTGAGCTGATGACCGATCTTCATACCGAGGCAGATCTTGGAGAAGGGTGTGTTCCAATAGGTAGGTAACTTTGTCTCCTGGAAGTCAAAGCCAGTCTTGCCTCCTGCAAGATGGTAGACATTTCTGTTCCTCCAGAAATGGGAATCGTAATGGAAGGTTCTCTGGAAGACAAGGAACTCAGTTTATAATTCTTTCCATTCTTTAAATTTCAATAATATCAAAAGGTTTTAGGAGACAGAGAGTTTACCTTTGCGCCGTTTATCTTCATGGCCAGCGTCCATCCTCCACCGCCACATCCAAAGTTTCCCATGTAACAGTAGACAGGAATCTTTTGTGAACCAAACATCAGCGGGTACACTTGGCTTCGTCTCGACCTTATGGAAAAAAGACAAGTCAAATTTATCGGAATGAGTCATCCTGTATACAAGCGCGGCGTCCTTTGACTGTATAAACATCAAGCGAGCGTTTTGGAATCTTGCTATTAATGCAATTTTCTTTGTACTTACTTCCCTATGTCGTACTGCTCCTTGCAAGAAGAGAAGGGACAGACTGTGAGGAAGATAAAACTGCGCATTGAGAACACTTGAAAAATAAAAACATTAAAAGACAAAGATATCATCCGAAAAGGTACCTGGAAGCTTCGGGGGCAAAGCGTCCTTCACCAGCGCAATAAGATTTTTAACTTCGGTTTGAAGCGTCTTAATGTCTTTGCCGATCTTGCCGCAATGATTGGCGGTACAGGATTGACGTCTGGCGCGGACCAAAACAGCGAACAGTGCGAGAACATTTACAATGAAATAAATTGCAAATAGCGAGCGCATCTTGAAAATGATCGACGTTGGAAAAATTTCTTTGTGTTGCTCAACCTGTGGAAAACTGATTGTGGTGATTTTGCTTCGTTATTTTGGTTATCATTGTTTATATTAACACAACTCGTATTTTCTTGCTCGCTTTCACTGAACGACGTGTGATCGACAAGTTGATATAGTTGAAGTATATTTTTAACTCTTATCACTGAGTTCAGTGTCCTGTAAAGAATATTACAATAGACTTTGAAAATCTGCTCACAATATAGCTGTCTATCTGCTGAAAAATAAAGGGCTAATTTGAGAGCGGCGATACTGCGATAAATCAATTTCATATGTTTATTTTAACGAATTGACCATACCCATTCGATCAACTGAGACCCTCATTGTTTTGTTTTTGTCCATATATATCGGTGTAAGTAAAACGCTGAGGACTGCGATAAGCTTGTGGAGGGCTGTGCTCTTGTAAAACCTGAATTTTCCATCCATTTGTTTCGCATTTTCAAGGCCAATTCAAAAAGTGAAGTATAACCTATTCCGTAATGAAGTTCAACCATTTTTTTTAAATCAAATGAGGCGGTCAGTTTTTAGACACGCTGTTATCAACTGAGTTGGCAATGTAAAATGGCCACCGGCATACACTGACCGAGGCTGTTTAATATAGCATTATTATCAATATACGCGGCCAAATAGAAAATCGGCCTCTTCAAAACACACGCTCAGCGGGCCGCAAAAGACTGACAGCGGGCTGCTAATGCATTATCAGCCCTACAGCTTACATGATGATTTGAAGTGACTTTGAATTCGTCATTCACTCAGCTTGTATTATTAAAACTCGCATTCTTGATATCATTTGGCCTTGTTTATTGATAATAATGATAATGACATGACTTTTTTTCGGGAATATTGTTTATTTGAGGCCGCGAATGACACTACGCGGGCGCAAATAAACAATATTCCCGAAAAAAGTCATGTTATTCCCTTATTAACGTCCGTTCTTTCAAAGCGTTCAACAGATCTTTAGCGAGTCTCACTACTCGATCGATAACCGTTCCAGTAGCTTTTTACGTTTTAAACAATTTCCGCGATTTGTTTGTCGCGACTGTCTGCACTGTCGAAGCATGTAATGAAATGATTCTGTAATTAAGCTTCAAACATGTGCTCTTCAACAAAGTTGTCCCAGGTTCTGAAATTAACAAATTTTCATTCAAACGTGGAAAAAAAAAACCATCCTCCCTAAAAATAAAATTTGTTGGGCCAAACTGAATATCAAAAGAAGAAGTAAACTGGTTCTCGGAATTAATTAACCCTTCATACCCTAACATTAGTATTGAAGTTCTCCAAACTTTTCTGTTTACATTTCCTATGGAGCTGTCGAGGAAAATTTAACAATTAAGAGTTTCCTATGTTCTTTGTTACAATGTTTAGTTCAGGGGTAATAATGTTATGAAAACTTTTGTTTGTCACGCTAAGCAGCAAAGGGTTAGGTGTATTAATTGATTGAAACCGATTGAAATCTACATTTCAGTGTTTTTAAGTGTAAATTCAGTTTGCATCTCTTTTGTATGATCTCCGCGTATCTGAAGGTCTCGCCCCAATGTAAGTTTGCCCTACTACTAACTTTGTAAGTTATGGCCAATCTTGGAATTTTCTGCAAACAAGCATAAAATGGTGTCAAACCAGATAAAGATCAGAATTATGAAGCGGCCTAGTATTATTGACCTGTTCCAGGCGTTCTGTCATTAAAACGAAGCGCGATACTAAATAGCGCCACAGCAGCGGGTTGTGTTGAAATCCTACCGGCTAGAGGTAAGCCCGAGGAGCACTAATGACGAGTTTCCGAGTCGGGTGATTATCAGAAATTGTCGGTTATTCTAACATGGCGGGCTGTTCTGAGACAAAACTGTATCCAAGTGTACTGGCATGACCAGTTATCAAAAATCTTTGGTTGATGTTCGATATTGCGTGGTTTGCCACGAAGTCTGTCTGCCACTTTGATTCTTAGCGCGCTTTTGAATAAAACACGATAAATCATAACCCTTATTATTACTCAACTGCACAAAGTAGAACACAAATAACCTGCGATAGTGTACGGTTATTTCGGCAGTTGGCTATTTTGTTCTGTAAAAAAACCTGTTTAACCAGTCGGCTGCGGGCGCTACGCTTCTCTGTCCGCTTTGCTTTTCCCGCCTCATGAGAAATGAACAGAAAGACGCAGCAGAAGAAAAGCAGTCGGATAATAAATAACTTATAAGACGTTTTGGTGTGTAGTATCGCTGAGTATTTCTAATCGTTGTTTGTGTTTTGACTCGCCCTACAGGCTCGTCAAAATACGGCACAACTCGTAAAAATACTCAGCCATACTACACACCAAAGCGTCTAATAAGATATGTATACTGACAACACTGGATAGGAGAAGGAGGAGAGAACCATAGGCTTTTCAAAGAGAAGTGGGTGTAAATAACAGAAGAATTTGAAGCTGAAATTTGGTCCAAATTGTGGGTTTTTAAACTCAATCTTACATAAAAACTGGTCATCGTAGAGGCTTACCGCCAGCTCTCAGATACGAATCCATGTAATCAAATGTTAATTTATTAAATCCTCTTTCTTCACAATTAAGTGAAAGGTGCCTGATGTACTCAACGTCTTCATATAGAGGTAGGTGTTCACGTCCATTATGATTTTACTAAATTAGCCTCCAGCCTCCGAAAAATAACTCTCATCTGAAATTTTATCAGTATTCGACCAGACCACAATATAATGTATCTAATATATTATTAGAAATTGTCCTTTAAATCGAACTTAACAAAACGCCTCCACTTCTGGACTTCAGGGCCTCCATTACTGTCAATTGTTTGTACGACAATCAATTTGCTTCCATTCGATTCATTTTCCTGCGCATGTGCAGCAATCAGTCTACATTTAGTTCATTGCCAACACAATATAAGAGACAGTACTATGCTTCGCAAAGCACTGATGAAAGGAGCTATCGTTACTGAAAAACGAAAAAAAAGAATATCTTAGTTTAATTGTTGTTTCAAGGAATTATAACTGAAAATTGAACGGCAATTTTTTTTACTAACCTTGTGTGTTGAGCAGAATATCGTAAAATTGTCTTCGATGAAGGAACAACCTGAAAAATAATTTTAAAAATCTCAGAAAGAGATCCAGGTATTAATGAACACACAATGAGAGGACTACGATGAATTTCATAGCGAGATAACAGTCCAGAATGGCTACTACAATTTGATAGTGCGACTTGAAATCCGAGACAGCAATGAGTTTGCTTTACTGTGCCCAGCGATTAGTCTAGAATACTCACGCAACTCTCAAAACCAATCAGATGGTTCGCTTTGAGCAATTTTTTTAATAAAGCTCTGCGATTGGTCCACAAAAATCGCGCCACTTTCTAAACCAATCAGATTCAAAATTTAAACTAACAACATTCGGTTAGTCGCGTTTCTTTCCCTCAGATCGTTTGCCTATACTTTCATTCAATTATCGTGAGCTCCTCGTGAAATTTTCTCTTTTTCCCTGTCAGCCGTTGTGATTACTTTGGTTTCAGTTTTAGGACCCTCGGTACGATATCGTGTTATTGACTCAAGTTATGAAAGCCTGTGGTAAAAAATCTTCACTCAATCGAGAAAAAAAAGAAACTGTGAGGTGAGTTAATGTTTATAACAAGACAGTCAACAAGCACCTGAATCTCTTGCACATGCGTAGTGGAATATCTTAATGCATCCCCGTTTGAAGCAGGCCAGCGTGGCGCCAAGTTCAAAACATTTGGTGCATTTCTGTGGAAACATGATGAAAAACAAGAACATTGACAACATCTTTCCTCCTTTTAGCTCCTTATACATTTCTTAGATTTGATTTGCTTGTTATTTTCAAACAGAACCAACCGATATCTCCTATTCACGACAAAACAATTTTCCAAATAATGCACGAACCTCTTCAGGTTTAATTCTAGCAGTTGGCTGTTCATGTAGCTTTAAAACTCTATGGTAACCCTTGGACTCCCGGGAGTGACCAATTAATAACTACTCCATACCAAATCATTACATTGTCAAGAAGCGGAGTGGTGAGAAGAGTGAAAAACACCAAGCAGGAGATATTGCTCGATTTAACACCAAATTCTCAGAGCTAAAATTGTAAGCAAAGTATGACAAACAGGGGGGAGAATTGATATTGGAAGATTAGGAGTAAAAAGAAGAGAGAAATGACTTACATGCTGTGCTGCACTTTCTACTGCTTGTTCCAAACCATGAACGGTCCTTCCGATCATAAAAACCCCAGGGGACCACACACCACAATCTCGATGTATCCACAAGTCTACATCGCAGCTTTCATTATCCGTTTGTATGTCAGAACTTGAGCTTGCCTTCCGGCTAGGCGAAGACAATTTCTGCGACAGTTTTCCCTCCTTAGAGGAACCATCTACCGATTTTTCCTTTGAAAATTTCGTTTTATAAGGTCCGTAAAGATCTCCTAGCAAGTTAAAACCGCTTCGCTTGCCACAAAAAGAGCAAACCCATGTATCGCCATCAACTCCGCCGCGCGGTTTGGTCGACATGACGTGTTTTACGGGTGAGCTTGAAGTGGAAATTTTGCGTTTCTTCGAGGGCTTTCCAATACTTACTGTTGGAGCTTCTACCGACCGTTTCGTGCTCGCAACCGACGGTCCGGAAGCCGAGGACATTTCTTGAACAGCGACAGCAGTTTTTGAGAATTTACGTTTAGTGACAGGCTCCGACTTGACCTCTTCCTCTATTTCTAAGTCGCCTTGTTTTCGCTTCACTTTATGCACGTATGGTTTTCGCTTTTGCTTATCTTTACTTCCCACTGGCCGTCCACGAGTTTTGCTTGGCGTCACCTGTTTATTTTCTTCCACCGAGGAGGCTTGAGTGGTAGAAGACGTTTCTGCTGTTTTATCAGATTTTTTCGAATGTGGATTGTCTTTCGTGCAAGAAGATTCCGTCTTATCAGTTTGCTTATCCTTTTCCCCAGTTTTACGGCCTTTATCAGGTCGAGTAGGTGAATTTTTAGTTGTTTTAGAG